GGGGACATTGAGGGGGGCAGGGGGACATTGATTGGGGGACGGGGACATTGGAGGGACGCTGGGGAAGTCGGCGACACTGGGGACATGGGCACAACTGGAAGCCACTGCCAGTCCAGGTGGGGAGGGGACATTGGGTGGCCTTGGGGACACTGGGATGACCAAAGACATGCCCCCAGCACCCCTGTCCTCAGGGTGCCATCATGATGGGGGGGGTGGGGGGGGTGGTGATGGTCCCCATGTCCCCAAGGTGCCATCATGATGGGGATAGTGATGGTCCTTGTCCCCACCCCTCTGGTCCCTGTGTCCCCAAGGAGCCATCACGGTGGGGAGTGTGATGTTCCCAAGGTGCCATCACGGCGGGGATGGGGATGGTCCTCATCCCTCACCCCTCCGGGTCCCCATGTCCCCAGGGTGCCATCGTGGCGGTGACGGGGGACGGGGTGAACGACTCCCCGGCGCTGAAGAAGGCCGACATCGGGGTGGCCATGGGCATCGCCGGCTCTGACGCCGCCAAGAACGCGGCCGACATGATCCTCCTCGATGACAACTTCGCCTCCATCGTCACCGGCGTGGAGCAAGGTGGGGCTGAGGAGACCGGGTGGGGGGGTGGGTGACACGAGGTGACACCGCCCTGGCGACGCTGTCCCCGCCCTTCCCAGGCCGCTTGATCTTTGACAACCTGAAGAAGTCCATCGCCTACACTTTGACCAAGAACATCCCCGAGTTGACCCCCTACCTCATCTACATCACGGCCAGCGTCCCCCTGCCCTTGGGCTGCATCACCATCCTCTTCATCGAGCTCTGCACTGACATCGTGAGTGCCCGGACACCCGGGTTCCCCCTGCCCGGACACCTGGGTCCATCAACTGGTCGTTGAGGTTCCTCACCCAGGAACCGGGGTTCTTCAGATGGCCGTTGGGGTTCTTCACCCAGGCATCTGGGTCCCTCACCCGGTCACCTGGGGTCCCCTCCCAGATGCCTGGGTGCCTCACCCGCATGCCTGGGTGCCTCACCCACATGCCCGGGTCCTCCACCCAGACACCTTGGTCCTTCACCCCAGACACTTGGGTCCTTCACCCCAAGGGTTGGGTCCGCCACCCAGATACCAGGGTTCCCCCCCCCCCCCAAACACATCTCCGGGGGCCCTCC